ATGCAGCTAACTCTCATGGAGAGAAAAGAAAGAGAAAGAAGAATCGCACAAAAATTGACTTTACTTTTAGTTCCTACATTAACTTAAAGCGAGGCGCACTCCCGGGTTACAAAATGGATCGCAACGCCGACACTTTGCGCGCGAAACTGTTCTCACTTTAATGACTTAATCGATCCCGACGATGACGTAAAGAATTTTCGCTGATCGGTGAGCCTTCCAGGCATTTCGATGATGACGCACAAGCTCCTGGCGTCTAAATGGCGGCTGATGCCTTCTGCCGCGTACTTCAGTTGCATCGTGAGGACGGCTACTCGCTTATTGCCGTGATTGTCTTAACAGAGGTATGCGAGGTCCAATATTCCGCGACGCAAGCCCCGTGCCCTAACTGCATGCATGCTGTCATAGGTCGTTCCTTGTTTTCTGTCGGGTCACCAATGTAGGATTAATAGGCGATTAATGCCTATTTTGCGGGAATTCACCACCTTTTTCGTGTAGATCGTACGAAATGAGAAACTTGATACTTTAGTAGCTGATATAACACTTATTCTTTTACAAGCTGGTATGTACCTGCTCACAGGAGAGAGCTAACAGAACTCTGTTCTCTATTTATTAAAGAGTGTCACACGCAGACATGACTGTACCTTCAAAGCTCCTAAACTTCTCCCTCTCATACGCTAGGCAGATTTGATATCGCTATTCCCCACAGCAGCGATCAGCGCCACCGGTCGGCAGTCTAGCGCAACAGGCATGAGCCTGTGTCTGTGTAACTTGGTTAGTTAGAAGCGTGTCGACTACATCACTCTGTCCTTTTTGCATTACATTCTTATTGCTTGCCTTGTCGGTGCGCTGAGAATGAGAGAGAATTTTGTTGTTTCACTCAAGCAAGTGTCGAGCGACCGAAATATGCTTTCTCGACTTCTCAGTTTTCGGCGTCAGGCGTATATCAAGAGATATGGGTGCCTGGGAATATTCTAAATAACATATAAGTTTTAATAAATTGTAATAATCCTTCCCATTAATCCAAAATATTAAATCGTGTCAAAAAGCGAAGTTAACGAGAGATTAATTGTTTATGATTTCCCATTCGTGTTATGTATCGCGGTCATAAATTCAATCCGCAAGAAATTGTGTCGAGCGCATAAGGTGTGAGATCGGAAATAAGTATTAGGTGTACAACTTTGCTTCCGCCGTTTTTTTCCGAAATTCGAGGCTTTATTGTAAAAAACTGGTTATACATTTATGATTCAAAGTATTGTCCATCGCTGGCCACTACTTTCTCCCATCTTTCGGGTAGCGTACGAATCCCGCGTCGAAAAAACTGGTCATCTTTTGAGGCTATCCACGAATCGATCCAATTTTTTACTTCTTCATAAGACCGGAAGTGCTGGTCAGCCAGGCCGTGTGCCATTGATCGAAACAAGTGATAGTCCCCAGAGGGAGCAACGTCTGGAGTGGGGTAGGACTTTCCATTTCAACGTTTCCAAGTATGTCTTGACCACTTTCGCAACATAAGGTCGAGCATGCTGCAAAATCACTTTATCGTGTCTCTCGTTGTATTGCAGCCGTTTGTCTTTTAATGTTCGGCTCAAATCGTTCGGCATCAATTGCGTTCGATACCGATCGCCTGTGATTGTTTCAGTCAGTTTTAACAGTTCATAATACACTACGCCGAGCTGGTCCCACCAAATACAGAGCATGACCTTGGAGCCGTGAATATTCGGTTTGGCCATCGACGTGGAAGCATGGCCGGGAACTCCCCATGATTTTCTGCGCTTGGGATTATCGTAATGAACCCATTTTTCGTCCCCAGTCACAATGCGATGTGAAATCCCTTCCGTCTTTGCCTTTCAAGCAGCTGTTCACAAGCAAACAAACGCCGTTCAACATCTCTCGGCTTCAATTCGTATGGCACCCAATTTTCTTGCTTCTGAATCATTCCCATGGCTTTGAGGCGTTTTGAAATGGCTTGTTGAGTCACTCCCAATGATTGTGCCAATTCTTCTTGATTTTGACACGAGTCTTGCTCAAGTAATGCCTCCAAGATGCCTTCTGCATCTTCGAAAACCTTCTCTCTTCCACCGCTTTACCGATCTTCGACATCAAAATCACCGTTCTTGAAGTGTTGAAATCACTCACGACATGTTCTTTCACTAATAATGGCCTCACCATAAGTATTTGAGAGCATTCGATGAACCTCAGCCGCAGATTTCTTCATATTGAAGCAAAAAATTAAAACCTCCCGCAAATTTGGCTCGTAAACTGACATTTCTAATCGAGAATAACTTTATGATGCAGACACAAATCGACTAATGTTTCTATAGAGTTATGTTGACAGAGCCCAAGTTTATTGTATGACGTCTATGATCTATTTATTTCAACCACCACTTACCGCTAAAGCCATCTTATAGGAAAACGGCGGAAGCAAAGTTGTACACCTAATATTATAATTAATAGTAAACATATATATATATATATATGTATGGTCAAATATATTTTCATATAATTTTTGAAATTATTCGTATAATTATCGTATGTATAATTTTTAAGCAATAGCTGTAGAAAAAAACCGATTCGCTTTTCAGTAAGCAAATAAAAAATTTAAAAATTATACAACATATAAACAGAGGCTCCGCGCACTCAAATTGTAATTTAAATTATAGGGATTCGCATTGCATACTCATAGTTTTCCATAACTTATCAGGCTACGACGCGCATTTCGTCAAGGAAATTGCCACCGCGTACGAAAGACATGTTGTCTTTTATCGACAATTAAAGAAAAATGTATCTCGTTTACAAAACATGTCGATAGTACCAAAGTTGATAAAAAAAATTGTGTAAAATTATAGTTTATAGATTCATACAGATTTCTCGCTTCTAGTTTAGACAAATTGGCGTCTTTTCTCAGTAGAGACAAACTACAGATATTGCAATACGAATTTTCTAATTTATCAGAAGAAAATTTTAATCTTTTGACACGAGCTTCTTTGACAAGGGTGTCTTTCCGTAACGAATACCTACTAAAAAGCAAAATTTCCGCAATAGTTACATCACGAGTTACTGTCTCGATCTCGCGCATTATTATACATTGCCAGGTTTCACGTGGGACGCCATGCTGAAACATACGCGTGTAAGATTCGAGTTACCAACATTGATATGATCATGTTCATCGAGCGCAATATATACGGCGGTCTCAATGTTCCGTGAAGATACGCATACGCTAATAACAAGTACATGCATTTGTTCGACCCATCAAAACTATCATCCTGATACTTGATATACTACGATGTGAATAATCTGTACAGATGGGCGATGTATCAACCTTTGCCATATGTCGAATTTCGATGGGTCGAAGACCCATCGATGCTGCGAACTTTGACGCTGCGAACTTTGATAAGCGCAATCTGGATTCATCCACCGGTTATATTCTCGAAGTCGATCTCGAGTATCCGCAGCATCTCCATGATCAACACACTGATCTTTCTGCCCAATGTGCGATAAACCACTCGGCAAGCGCGAAGAAACTTTTAGCGACAAGCAGCGTTACGTAATCCACTATCGCAATATGTAACAATGTATTCGTCACGGTCTTCGCGAAACAAAGATCCATCGGGTGCTACAATTCGCTCAATCTCCATGGCTTTGCGATTATATTGAACTAAATTCATAATTTAGAACGCGCGCAAAAAAGAAAAAAATTTGTATAAACTAATGAACAATGTGGTATTCGATAAGACCATGGAGAATGTGCGCAATCACGTTGAAAAAATTAATATTATAACAAAATGGGACGGATGGTACGGCGCGGAGGCAATGATGGCGAAACCGAATTTTTACAGCCGCAGCGTCTTTGCGGAAAATTTGATCGCCATCGAAATGCGCAAACTCGAGATGAAGTTCGACAAGCTAATTTACGTGAGTATGTGCATACTCGATATATCGAAAGTCTACTTGTACAAATTTCATCACGAGTCCATGTCATCGATGTATCGCGACAAATGTAAAATCATGATCGACACGGACAGTCTCATTTACCATATAGAATGCGACGATGTTTACGAGAATATGAAATGCGATATTGCTAAATTCGACACGAGCGATTATCCAGCAGACAATGTATATGCCTCTCGCGAACAAAAAAGGCTCGGCCTAATGAAGGATGAAAGTAACGGTGCGATAATGACCGAATTTGGACTTAGAGAAGATACGCGGTGAGAATGGACGGCAAGGACACTAAAAAGGCAAAAGATGTAAAGAATAACATCGTAGTGAATGATAACGTTCGATGATTATGCGGTGTTTGAATGAAGAGATCGAAATGATTCGTCGTCAATCGTGTATACGATCTAAATTACACGAGATGTACACGATATTCGAATCGAAAATCGTTCTGAATCCATACGACGACAAACGATATGTTATATCAGACTCGACGGAGACATTATCGTGAGGGCATTGGCGGATAACTTTGTAATATATGTTATTATTACATATATATGTTACTTATTGTAATATAATATATAATATATGTTACTTATTGTAATTTACATTTTTTTTATATTTATACAAGTATTATCATTATGTTTTATGTAATAACATTTATTATGTATTACAATTATTGTACTTTTATATAATACATATCGTATGTTTTTAATATTTATATACTACTAATTTTTATTTATATACTACTAATATTTCAATTTTACATTTTATATTATATATCCCATATTTTTTATTATTTATGCGTATTATTATACTATTATGTATTACTATTTTAAT